ATGTACTGAGTTTGAAGGCCCTGTTTGGCTAGGGCTTTGCTGAGCGCTTTAGTTTCAACAGAATCAAAGGCCTTCTTTAAATTGATGAACGTTAGACAGAGCAGCATCCTGAACTCTCGAGAAACCTCAATGAGCTTGGTCACCGTGTGGATATGGTCCTCCTGTTGAATCCTTTTCAGAACCCCCTAGCTCGCATGGTTGTCCTTCGTCTAGTGTTCAGCCAATCCTATTCAGGATGACTTGAGTGAAGAACTACTTTTAGACAACAAACAACAGGCAGTTGACACCTGTCTTCGGAAACTCTCGAGTTCATTCACCAATGTGGTTTAGAGCGAGCCTGAGGCAATCACAAGCTAAAGTCAGAGCTCACAAAGCTCTGCAGAGAAGTGATAAAGGTGGACTTCAAAGTGCTACCTGTGTGTATGCTACTGTGTGTATGCAAGTTTCCATCCCAGTGGAAAATCACAGGACTCTTCTGTCATACAAGAAGAGAGACATCCACAACATCGGCAACTATCACATGACTACATACATGAATAAAATTATGAATGAGATTAATAATCTATAAACATCCCTATCTAATTGATTAAATGGAGATTATATCTGCAGTCAATTAAAATAAATATAATAAGCAACAAACATTGATGTTGGGATCCAAGTAAAAGTAGTAATGCTTCCTATTTTTCTCTGATTTTGTTCACTCCTATCACAAGGTTTTTTCTCATTCCTTATACTTTTAAAATCTCTGCCAAATAAAATTTGTATTATCTAAACTAAATATACTTTTTAAAGTTTTCATATGCTCAGATTAACTCTTTCATTTTGCTTTCTCACATTTTTTTTTCTTTTTTGTTTTTTATTGGTCCACTCAAAGTGGTGCTTTACCTGATGACCTGATGTCTCCACCTGTTTATTCATATCTCCCCCTCTATGGAAAAACCCTTTTATTTGAATAGCTAAAAATAAGATAAGCTGCACAACAACAATTTTAAAGTTCAATGAGATATCATATTTGCTTTAAGGCTAAAGTAGTTAGCCTTAAATAAATATTACATCTCTGTTACTTTCTTCTTTATTCACCACTTTTTATCCCAGATCCCCTACACGCCATCCTTTTAGGTTTTGGGTCACATAGTGTGGTGCTCAGTGCTTACTCCTGGATCTGTGTGCAGGGACCATTGCTGGTGAGCTCAGGAATATAGCATGCCATATAGCATGCCAGGGATTAAATCTGGCTTGTCTGAGTACAAGGCAATTGCATTATGCTCGTACGATCTTTGCAGCCCCTGACTATATCTTTTTGACCTTATTTTTATCTAAAGTCTCAGTGACTATCATTATTACTCTATCTCTGTTTTCTCAGGATGACTGGCTCTATAGACAATATATGTATTCATCTCAGGAGAATCATGTTAAATTCCTCAATAATAGGAAAAATTAATTCAAACAGTATAAAGGACAATTCACTATATAATAAATCAATTTAAGAATTTTAGCTTTTACTCCTGTAGAGTTCAAAACAGTAGATTTTTTAACACAATTATTGAAAACGTTAGTGAAACAATAATCACCAACACAGTAAAATATTACACATACAGATTAGTAGTAAGGAGAAAGGTCTCAAAAACTTACAAACACATCAAGAGCTGAGAGAAAGTACATCAGTTTAGGTGTATGCTGAAAACCATGGCTCAATCCACGTATGACATTGTTTCCCCCAGTACCATGAAGTACAGTCTTGGGAGCCACCAGGCCCTAGCAGAAAGTCCCAGGTCCTCCCTAGCACTCTGGTGCCTGAGCATAAAATCCATGGGTCCTCCCATTGAGTCCCCAGCCTACTTGGCCAAGAATCCCTGGGAGGTAGCCTGAGCAAGCCTGGGGACCCCTGCCATGCAAGACAAAAAAAGAAACACAAAAAAATTAAAATCACAAGAAAAATACATGATTGAAATCTCCAAGCTCCTTAGGGGTGGGAATGGGCTCCTCCCCCAACTCCCAAGTTTTATCCATAACTTGGCAGTCATACCCACAAACTGTCTCTGGAGCCATTTAATCTCATCAGTGGCCAAAATGCAGAGACTCAGAGATAAAGCTCCCAGAAGAGAGCAACATAGAACCTCCAGACCCTATGCCAGGCTGTCTTCACTGAAGCAACTCAAGAACAGGGGCAGGTGAGTTTCCCTCCAAGCCTGGGCAGCTGAAAACCTCCAGATCCCAACCACAGTCATGCTCAAGGCTGATCTCCTCAGGTTCAGGAGCCTCACTCACAAGGGAACCTGCAGAAAAACCCAGGTATGCGGGACCCATGACTGAGATCTCCAAACTCACTTGGAGAGGGAGATTTCAAATTTTCCAGTAGCTTGGCAGTCACACCCACAAACTGCCCCTGGCGCCATATACTCTCATCAACAGCCATGATGCCGAGACTCAGAAAAAAAGCTCCCAGAAGAGAGCATGTGGGCCTCACCATGAGTGAACCTACTGTATAATCGTATTCTAAATTTTAGAATTCCTGGATAACGCAGTCGTGCAACCTCTCATATTCTACACCACTGACGTACTAAGAGTACCACTCAACATTTGATTGGGTTTAACAAACATGTTTGTAATCTCCTATACAAAGACTCAATGGCTCCAAGATGAAATACAACAATCTTCACACACTTTAAGGAAACTTTACTGGGTCATTTTCAGCAGGTAATTCATAACAAGCAATACAAAATTATTTTGGTTCTGCTTTGGGGGGCACGGTTTGGGATCTGGGGTGAAAATATTCAAAATATGGTGACGGGAAGGTGCAATGGTGGTGAGATTGGTGTTTGAATATTAAATGTAATGAATTAATGTCAACAACTTTATAAAAGGAAATAAAATTATTTTAAAAACACGGGAAACTTAGAACATTATGAAAGCCCAAAGGAATGTTTTTGTTTGATTTTTGTGTGGGGGTTATACCTGGTGGTGCTCAGGATTTACACATGGCTCTGTACTCTGGGATCATTCCTGGCCTGGCTCAGGCACTCAAGCTCAAATCTAGGCCTGGAGCATGCCAAGTTAAGTATCACACCCAGTGTATTATCTCCTTAGCCACCAGCAGGATGTTTTTATGGAATTTCACCAGGGTTGGCTGCTCAGATTGTGGCTCAATGTTAAAGAATAAATCTTGTATTTGTGATGCCCAGGATTTAATTTAGTTTAACAAGTAGCAATAAATGGACACTGCTTTTGAAAGAGAAAGAAAAGAAATAATACCAGGCCCAACAATGGCTTCCATTTTTACTTGTCTGAGAATCTCTGGATTACATTTTTACAGAGAATATCTAAATAAGAGATTGATCTTTAACTCGACAACTAAAACTAACTGAAAAAAAAAATAGAGCAATTTGTTTTCTGTCAATGTGTTACAAAGCTAAGCCTTTTCTCTAACCTGTGATTTGTCACCTTCTATAAATATCTTTATGAAATATAGATAGCAAAAGGAAATAATTCCGTAAACAGTACCAAAGAGGATACAAATATAAATTATAATTAAGAAGTAGAGAAACTACTAATTTGGACACTTATGTATTTTCTTTGCACTAAAATCCTTAATGTTTATTATTTTTTCTCATTGAACACTAGCATCCAGAGTGAGAGATTAAGCATTAGATAAATCTAGCAATAGCATTAGTTACAGTATACTTTAACAGGGAAGGCTATAAAATACAATTTCTAATTATTGTTTGATTTCCTACGGTGTTGGGGAAAGAAATTGCTTAGTTTCTCTATTCACAATGTGAAAGTTCTAATACTAATTTAGGCACATAAAATTATTCCAGTATAAAATATTTGAAAGGACAGTTCAAGGAACTTAAAACCAAAAAATTTAAGATAGGTGAGTTAAAGATCCATATTATGATTGGGAAGAAGTTATACTGGGGGGGTGCCTAAAAAATACGCTGTTTACAAGGATGGTTTAAAGAGATAATTGGGAACTATTAAAGGTCAAACTAAAAGAAATAAAATACCATTTAAACCGAATAATTAAACAAGCTAAAATTAAAATTATCTAGTCAGAATAGAACATTATACAATTTTTTAAAAAAAATTCTTTTAGGATATAATACATTTAAAATTATTTTTTTAGAGACTAACACCCAAGAATAGCTAAGATAAGTACCAGAAGGTTCACTCCATGGCTTGGCCAGCTGCACATGCTAGGAGGCAGCTCAGATAGGGAAGGGAGCACCAAGGAAAGGGGGTTGGGGGGGATCCTGCCAGGATGGGAGATGAATGCTGAAAGTAGACTATAGACCGAACATGACTGCCACTCAATGCCTCCTTTGCAAACTACAGCACCCAAAAGGAGAGAGAGAACAAAAGGAAATTTCTTGCCACAGAGACAGAGACGGGGGTGGGGGGGGGAGGGATACTGGGATCATTGGAGGTGGAGAATGGGCACTGGTGGAGGGATGGGTACTCAATCATTGTATAACTGAAACCCAAGCACAAAAATCTGTAAGTATGCAATTGTACTTCATGGTGTTTCACTAATAAAAATTTAAAAAATAATAAAATTATTTATTTTTTTAAGACTGCACATAACAGTGTTCAAGACTTACTCCTGGACCTATGCTCATGGATCAATCCTGGCAGTGCTAGGGGGACAATAGTTAGAGTGATTGAACCCTGGTTGCTCTCATGCAAGGCAAACACTCTACCCACTATACTATTCTCCAGTTTCTTTCAAACATTTTAAAACAGCACTGATCAAGAGATATTTTGGACTTATGTGTAGGTCATCTGGCATTAGTCAATAAGGATTACCAGATGTTCCCTTCATAGAGAATTTCGACATGAGTGTTTCAATTAAAATGATGACACCACTTGTTTTTGTAAAATAAAATATATTTAATTTGGCATAACAGTGATTTATTATATACTAATATTTCAAAACTAAGTTAGTATTTCAAAATATACTTTTTCATTTAATAAACCACTGAATAAGTAAAAATAATGGCCTATAAGCATGTTTTTGCTCCAAACGCCAAGCTGTTATTGCACTGAAGACAGTGAAGTCCATCACGGGGATTATAAGATCCAGGGCTGCAGATCACTGTGAATAAAGAATAATTTAATAAGTGACATTTGCCTAAAGTGCCACATAAGTTAATTTTAAAAAGAGGATACATTTTAGAAGAAACATATCCTCCTTTTTTGATAGGAATATCATTGCTTTAAATATTAAATAAGCTTCAGGTGTAAAGCCTTATAATCAACATTTGAACATTTTAATTATTGTAAAATACTTGTAACATCTTTACCATTTTAAACATTTTAAAGTTTGCAGCTTAGCAGTATAAAATAAATACATTTTTGTACACTCAATCTACAGAACATTTTCATCTGGTGAAAACTGACACCTCACCATTTCCTCCTCTACTAACCTCTGTTAGCCACAATTCTAATAATTTTTCTATGAGTTTTGTCATTTCAAATACCTCATGTAAATAAAAGTTTAACTATTAATAGATCTTGGCATAAATGTCATAAACTAACCAGAAATGGTGAGTTTAGAATTCTCATTGGGCTACCCTGTTAGCTATAACAGAAGTTATAAAGATCAATACCACAGATGAAACCAAATGTGAAATGGGAATAATTCCTTAGCTGTAGAAATGCAGGTTTTAAAATGGGAAGGGCTTGCCTCTTATTTCTAATAATCTCCTGGCTTTAAATCCTCATCTAATAACTAAGTGATTTTAGAAAAAAAATTTTAGACTAAATTAAAATATGTTTGATCATTTCCAACATGTATCAATTACTATGATCATTTACCACATATATCTTTGCATGAGAGAAAATAAAGAAGGGCAGGAAGAAATCATCTCTGTCATAGAACTTTGAGAATCTAAAGAGTTTTGAAATATTTTCATTACATTTTACTCATTTTTAACAGTTACAAAAATAACTTACACCATACTATTATTTACAGGATTGATATCAGATTACTTTAAAGGAGAAAGTATATAGTATTATATCATAGAGAGAGAGAGGAAGAGAGAGAGAGAAAAGAAAAAAGAAAAATGCCTGGTGTAGAGGCAGACTGAGGGGTGGGGATGGAGGGAAACTGGGAACATGGGTAGTGGGAAATGTACTCTGGTGGAGGGATGGGGGTTGGAACACTGTATGACTAAAACCTAATCATGAACATTTTTCCAAGGGTCTATCTCACAGTGATCCAATAAAAATAAATAAATAGATGGTAGAAATACTTCAACAATATATTTGCATAGACCTACCTATCTACTTTAATATCACTAAAGTGATAGTAAATATATATTTACAGTAAATATTTATATATTGTATCCGGGACCGAGATCTCCAAGCCTACTCAGATTGGGGCCGAGCATCCTCCACCCAGATCCTCCAAATTCCAGTAGGCGGGGGTCACACCTACCACCTGGCCCCCTGGCACCGTGTAATCCCATCAATGGTCAAGAATCAGAGACTATAAAAACCAGCTCCCGGAAGAGAACAGTGCAGTCTCCTGCCCCCGCACCTGGCTGTCCTCGCTGGGGCCCCTTGGAGGGGAGCGGGTTGAGCTTTCCTCCCCACCCCGATCAGGGCTCCGGCAGCCGAAGACATCTTATTATGACATCTTATTATCTCATTCCTACTTTGGACAAACTGGCAGGCTACCGAATGTAGCCTGCCCACACAGCAGAGTCTGGCAAACTCTCCGTGGCGTAACCAATATGCCAAATACCAGTAACAATGATGGGTCTCATTCTCCTAAAGAGCCTGAATATAATCTCAGGGTTAGGATGAAGGAGATATTACTGGGGCCTGCTCGAGGCAATTGACAAATATTTATATATTTTATATATAAATGTCAAAAGACCCCGTGGCCGCCCACCTACCAGATGGTCAGACTTCTTCGTCAAGATCATGAACGATCGGTTTGAGGCCCTTCATGTTCCCGGAGCGAACAGATGCCATTGGGCTACACTAGCACGCGACAGGGACAAATGGAGACGTTTCTGGCGCCCGCTCGAGCAAATCGATGACTAACGGGAAGTTAAGTGATTAAGTGATAAATATATAAATAATAACAAATATATTTACTGTAAATATATATTTACTAAATCACAGTCCTCCCATTGTTCATCGATTTGCTTGAGTGGGCCTAGTAACGTATCCTTCGTGAGACTTGTTTTTACTGTGTTTGGCATATCAGTACATCACAGGTAGCTTGCCAGGCTCTGCCATGTGGGCGAGATACTCTCAGTAGCTTGCCAGGTTCTCCGAGAGGGGTGGAGGAATCGAACTCGGGAGGGCCATGTTGGCTGCATGCAAGGCAAATGCCCTAACTGCTGTGCTATCGCTCCAGCCCTTATTTACTAAATATATTTAGTAAATATATATTTACATTTACAATATAAACATTCACTACATATATATGTCACTACATTTATATGCATGTACATATATAGTCACATGAAGAACATCTACATGTATACAATTCTGAATTATTATTAGTAAATTATTATTAGTTGGATTTTTCAATGAATTAAATTTACATCATATTAGCTTTGACAAACATGAAAAATAAAACTATGAAGATTTTGAGAACATATTTGCAGATCACTTAAAATCATTTTTGGATCTAATAATGGGAACGTATTTAATGCTTTAAAAACATTTTCATAATAGGAATAAAACATTCCAAATTAATGAAGGAACTTTGTGAAAATCCAAAGAAAACATCATACTCGGTGGCTAAAATATAGCTTTTCCTATACGGTTTAAAAGATAAGTTTAATTATTATGTTTTAATTTAACACAAAATTGGAAATCTTATTCAGAGCAATTAGGCAAGAATTAGGGAATTCAAACTGAAGTGGTGAAGTAAAGTTGTCTTTGTGCATATATGATAATATCTTTTAGGAAAAATGTCCAGAAAATAGCACCAAATTATTTTTTTGAAAAAGAAGCCAATGTAACCTAATTAACAGCATTCATCAAAGTTATAGGATATTAAAAATACATGCAAAAATTAGTTGCAATTTAAGCTCTAATTACAAGAGCATAAAATAATACTTAGGAAAAAACTAAATGATGTAGGTGAAATGCTAGTATACTTAAAACTGCCAAGAATTTCTGAATTAAAGGCAGAAGCAATTGAAAAACATATGTTGGAATACTCAATATTTAATGATAACTTTATTTGTGCAATTCTGATAAAACTTTCAGAGACATATTTTGCATAATTAAAGAAATTTATTATAAAATTCACTTAAAATCTCAAGGAATAAAGATTTTAAGATCTCAGAACAGTCAAAATAAATTTGAAAACCACCAAAATTGGAAATATCACATAATATTAAAATAATACAAAGGTCAAATAATTAAAACATGGTACTGCTATAAAGACAGTCAGTCTCACAGACAGATGAAATAGAACTCAGAAGCAAACATGGAAGCATATAGTAAAATGTTTTTCTAATAAAAACTATTATTAAATGAGAAAATAATGGTTTACAAAATACTTCTAAAATAAAATTATAAAAAATGAATGAGTTTATATACAAGAATTAAATAATAATAGACAAAGGTCTTAAACATAAAACTAGTAGAAGAAAACAGGGGGGAATTTTTAAACAATAGAATTTGCAAATTTTTATGACAACAAAGCATATAGAAAAAAGACAAATTGAACTATATACCAAATTTAGAACATCTGTACATACATGAACATTATTACCAAATAAAAAGGATACCTACAGAATGGAAGCAAATATTTTCACGGCATAAACTGCCAAATAATAAGACATAAAAATAAACAAAAGTTAATCTAAATGATAAAGACTTTCAATGGGCATCTCTCAAAAAATTTTATTACAATAATTATTAACAACCTGAATAGGAAATCAAATTAACAAATCATTGGGGAAATGCAAATCAGAACCATATTAATAAGTGACTACACAATATCAAGATAGCAAGATTAAAACATGGAAACAAATAATAGTTTATCAGGGCATGGGTAAACTGCAAAAACACTTGAAACTTGAGGTTAGAGACAGTAGAGTGGATTAAAAAAAAAAAAAACCACCTTGCATGCAACTGACCTAGATTTAATTCATGGCACAGGTTATGGTCTCCAAAGATCCACTAGGAGTGATTAATGAACACAGAAAAGGAGTTAGCCCTGAGCACTGCTGGTTGTGACCCCCCCAAACTGACCGACCAAACAAATAAACCATCAAAAAAACAAAATATCCAACAAAGTCTTGTGGCTTTGTTGATGTTAACACTGTGTAGACTATGGAAAACAATATGGTGGTTCTTCCAAATATTAGAAATAGTATTGCCATATAAACCATATAAACCAAAAGCCCGCTTTTGGGTATACATTATAGATGCATGTTTGTGCCCCACCCAGAAAATTTTACATTAAAGACCTAAAGCCAGGGTGTTTATATTTTCAGACTGGTCCTTTTAGGATATAAGGTCAAATGAGGTAATCAGGATGGTACTCTAATCAGGTACTATTTTTGTTTTTCATGACTATAGGTACTATAAGATTATAAGTATTATAATTATATGATTATAAGTATTAATGTTCTTATAATAATGTAGAGCTCCCTTTCTCTTTTATTTTTCCTCAGCACAAACCACAGAAAGATCAGGAAAGAACATAGTAAGAGAGTGGTTTATTAAAATTCATTCAACAGAATTCACTAGAAATAAAATTGGCCAAACCTTTAAATTGGAACTTCTATCCTTCAGAATTGTGAAAGCAGTATGTTGTTTAAGATGTCTATTTAATAAGATTATAGAAACATACAGCCCAACTTGACAGAAATTGAAATAAAAACATGGATCAGAAAAAACAGCAAAGAGTTACATGCTATTGATTCTAGTTCGATCCCCAGCACAGTTTAGTAGTTCCTAAGCACTACTAGAAGTTCAAATGGCATAGTACATTCTTGGAGTACTTGAGGCCCTGAACTCCATTCCAAGAACTACATGGGACCCCCTGAAAAACCCCAGATGTGTGGTTTAATTTTTGTTTGTTTTCTGGGCCACACTCAGTGGTGCTCTATAATC